TATCTGCGCAATTCAGTGTATGTAACGCAAAACCCATGCGCATTCAGAATTTCAATAAGGCGCTTCGACCCAAACTCGTGGTAAACTTGAATTGCAAGACTAAGATGAAAAGGTGTAAGGATACTACGACTAGTTGCAACAATACATTCCGTTAAAGCCAACTTTTCCTCACACTTTCTGTTTTGATATTAGAAGGAACAGTGCAAGTGCTAAAAGCCTTTTCGTCCGTAATCCAACTAAGTAGTTTGACCAAAGAATCGGGCATTGACTGTAACGAATTTTCGAATGATACCTCCGTTGAAGTTGGGTAGTGTTCTTTAAAGAATCATACTTTGTCAATGTCTCTCCGAATTATACTTGCTACTGAATAAAGGAGTTGGTCATCCGTTTGTTCGCTATACATACGACTCATTTGTTTTTCTTTGGACCATTTTAACTCTGCTTTCAAATTACTGGCTGCCTTGATTGCATCCCCTAGTGTTATATTACTACTCATAATAATGTTGGACTTACCCTGTCCTTGTTGCGATTGAATGACAATAGAATCGCCATAATGATTTTCCAAATGTCGCTGCAGTTTCCACGTTGTAAAGCTTTTAGGCATATTTTCGGGTAGGTATGAAACAAACTTCTCAATTAAAGTGGATAATAGAAATGCTTTTTTATTTTTTAATAAATCATCATTTATATTAGTAATTAATTTGGAAAAAGCAGCTGTATTTATTGATTCGGATTTGAAGTTGAGTTAGCACTGACCTCAATATCTTTTTTTAAATACAGTAGATATTATATTATACACTGGTTATGGTAAAAAGCTTGTTCTTTAAAATTGTCTTGATTAATTTTATGTAGCAAGTTTGAATCACCATTATGGTTTGCAGCGTTTGTAAGGCGAGTAACCCTTTCATCTGATTCAATTTTCAAACGTTTTTTTTGTCTTGCTTGTAGCTCTTTTTATTGCAAAATATACAAGCACTCCAATTGGTAGGAGAAGACATAGATCGAGTTAAGATACTCGTGACTTGACTGTCCTGGTTTGAACAGTCCGCTAATTCATCATCTTGTCTCTTAGTAAACACCGCAATGTCATGTTCACTTGTATAAGATTTGTAGCAACTTTTATGATATACAATTTCCAAACTTTCCTTCGGTATATCTTTGAATGAATCATATTCACTTATCAATTTCAAGTAAATATCATCTTTACGCCTACCAACTGCAGCAAAAAAACCGCGATTTACTGTTATCAGTAAATAAAACAACTGTTTCATTACTGCTTCTCTGGCAAATTACACATTTTTTTCTAAGATTAAACTCGGTTTCAGCCGCTTTGCAGTACTAGGACTAAGTTTCAACGGACTTCCCAGTTGTGCCATCTTTTGGGATTTTGTCAGATCTCAATTTCTAAAAATAACTTCCAACTAAAAAAAATATTTTCTTCTTAAATTAATAAAACCTTATCAACACAACCTCAAAATGGAACAAACAACAAACAAAAGAATCAAAGAAACCAAGAACCTTGAACCAATACAAGTAAAATTAATTGATGATTGCTATATATTAATCGAACATGTGGTGCACTCGAAGTTCAAAATCAATAAGGTTAATAATATTCAGATCAGCCGGAGACCTGACAAGATTTTCCAGAAAATTAAGTAAGATTGTAATTTAATAGTGAATAATTATTTTAAGTCTTTTGAGAAATTTTGTAAGATCAAAAATTATGTTACTGAAAAGAGTTTTTGCTGAATTTTCACGTTGTATAAAACCAGGTTCAATCCACCATTTTCTACATTTGAAAATGCCTGTACCAAGTCAGGAATATGACAGTTGTTGTCCATTCGTTTGATGTGTTTTGTCATTTGATTTTGCCATGTGATTAGGGACTTTCCGATTGAATTTTCCTCGGAGTTAAGTATTTTTGTGATTTTACTTTTTAATTAATAATTTATAGATTAGTGCGTTCTTGCAAAGTATTAAAATCCGGTGAAGCGACAAAATGTTACAAGTTTCAGTGCTTTGTATCTTCAAATTTTTTTAACAAAAGACTTGTGATGTTAGTGTTTTTGCTTAATGGATACCATATTATATGTGATAATTGAATCCAGTACGAGTTACATATATTTGGCAGCAATTTTTAAATAACTGGTCAAAATTACATGCCTCGTAGAGTCCACATTTCAAGTCAGTTTTGCTAAACAAACGTCAAATTAAAAAAAAAAACTGCGCCATACGACTTTTTGACGACCAGTCTAAAATAAAAGTGAAATCATTTCTCTAGATGTATACCAATTTTTAGCCGTGTATTATAAAGTGAAATTGAACTCTGTTAATAATCGCCTTTTTACTAATCCGTCACCGCACTATATTGATTGAAAGGACATCATCAATATATCTGAAAGTTAAATCAAAGATTTTTTCCAAATGTTTTTTGTTCTTTTAGAAATTTTGCATGCACTCTTCTTTATATGGGTACAACATAAGTAAGCTAGTTGCTATTGGAAAACCGACTGTCTGTTGAAATGTCAATCAATCTAACTCAACAAAAATGTTGTCGATCAAACATTTCAGCATTGTGATGATATGGCGTATTTTTTTTTAATCAGTGCGGTTCTTCACCTGAAACACGAAATTTATGTTTAAGAATACCATTTTTGTAGGAAAACTCTGTTTAATTAGACTATATATTCAGAGGATTGTAGTAAATTTTAAAAAAAATATTGTTATGGGCCTTTTCTGCTGGAAAAAAAACTATGTTGTGTTTTATACCTGTTCATGAACTATGGAAATATTTTGGGCCAGTGGTGTACATACTACTACCAGTGCCGCACTGAAAAGGTGTGAAAAGACGTCTTTTTTCTTCGCTTTTGGCAAACAGGTAAAATTGAGAATGGAAATGGGGAATGTGTCAAAGAGACAACAACCCGATCATAGAGCAGACAACAGACGAAGGCCACCAATGGGTCTTCAATGCAGCGAGCAAGAAACTCCCGCACCCGGAGGCGTCCTTCAGCTGGCCCCTAAACAAATATGTATACTAGTTCAGTGATTAATGGATGTCATACTAAACTCAAAATTATACACAAGAAACTAAAATTAAAAATGATACAAGACCAACAAAGGCAAGAGGCTCCTGACTTGGGACAGGCGCAAAAATGCGGCGGGGTTAAACATGTTTTTTGAGATCCCAACCCTCCCCCTATACCTCTAGCCAATGTAGAAAAAACAAACGTACAACAGTACGCACAGTAAAACTCAGTTTAAGAGAAGTCCGAGTCCGATGTCAGAATAGGAAACAAAAGAAAATAAACAAAATGACAATAATACATAAATAACAACAGACTACTAGCAGTTATTGACATGCCAGCTCCAGACCTCAATTAAACTGATTGAAAGATTATGTCTTCATCATATGTGTTGATAATACGTAAGATCAAAAACAACAACGGTATCAGCATTTGTCAAATCTCGCTGGTTCAGATATTGACACAATTTGACAAGATCTGTATGACCAAAACGTAAGTTATATGGCGATCCTAATAACTTCAAAGCAAAGTTGGCATTGCATCAAGACTGTTATCATAGTTTCCATTTTCTTTTGTGTTTGAATGCTGCTACATCATTTTTCATTGGTACTTGGAACGGTTGTTATATTACTGTTCCCCTTCCCTCTTGTACATGTAATTCATTGGATGCTTACCAAACCATTTTTTTCAAAATTGTCTATAGTCGCCTTCAAGTACAATAGAAGCGGTTTTTGGTCAAATATTATCAAACAATCAATCATGTTTATACTAGATATATTTTTTCAATTAGCGGGACATAAAATATTTCCTTAAAAACCACTACTGTCCTACCTTTTATTGTGATTGCACTGTAGAATATGAACATTCCCATTATCCTAGACGATTTTTAATGGTGGAATTTGGCAATGTTTTCACCGGAAGTGTTGCCATGAATTTTCACATTCAATTTATTTACATATTTTTCGGACCCACTCGGATCTTTTGCTCAATTTCAAGGTGAGTCCAGAGAAATATTATGAAGCAGGCAACAAGCTACTAATACGCGGGAAACTGTACCACAACAATTACACGAACATTACCGGAAAGCAACGAATATTTCAATTACCTCATCGTGTCGAATCATAGTAAACTAAAAAAAAGCAAACAAATATCAAAACTTTCGTCACTAATATAACCGAATGAGTTATTTGAAGTTTGTCGGAAGTGCTCTGGGTGAATCAAATATACTTGACAGAAATTTTACGATTCAGAGGAAGTAAATAAATGGGAGAAAATAAAGTTGAACGCAAACAAATTTGTTGATTTTTTCGAACTTGCTAGATTTACATTATTTTCACAAATTGTGACTTGGATGGAGAGTTGTCTCATTGGCACTCATACCACATCTTCTTATATCTATCTACTTGCCTGCTAAGATATTTGAATAATAATATTTGCCTTGCTTTGGACGCGAACGATGCATGATTGTCATATAAATCAGGGACAGACCTGCCATTTCACCTATTTTAATGCATCCTTGTCAATTGAATGTAACTATAACCAATACAAAGTCCTAAGATAGCCGTCAATTGTTACTACCAACCTTAGCCAATATTAGTTAATAAATGATAAATGAGGACATTCATGCCATAGTATACAATATATAAAAGTATTTACCATTTATGTTAATATACTTTGATCATTATAATCTCAAAAGAGGGACGAAAGATACCAGAGGGACAGTCAAACTCATAGATCGAAAACAAACTGACAACGCCATGGCCAAAAATAAAAATACAAATAGACAAATAATAGTACAGACGACACAACATAGAAAACTAAAGACTAAGCAACACGAACCCCACCAAAAACGTGGGGTGATCTCAGGTGCTCGGGATGGGTAAGCAGATCCTGCTCCACATGTGGCACCCGTTGTTTTGCTCATGTACAAACCCGGTGATAAGTCTAATTCGGTGTTGCTTATGTAATTACAAATCCGGCTCAACATATTTATTCTATACAATATACATGTGTGTATTTATAAGAAGCTTAAATGTGAAGTATGATCATCTTCGGGCATCCAAATACCAGCGTCTATTTAATAAAGTCCTGCAAAAACAAAACAAAAATAATATGAATAATTGATATTATATATCAAATTGATAAGCAAAATGATAAAGATAAGAAACAACAATTAGGCGAAAAACGGCGTTGAACGTTGACATTGCACCAGTTATCTCATTTTAAGAAAATATCCATGTATTCAGTGATCATCGACTTAATTGTATTGATATAGTCCTTCACTTGCCAATGCATGTTGTTTTAACACCATTTAATTTTTAGGATATAAAAAGCAATATTTTTGGGAGTGCTTTGCTACAAATCATCTGAAAATTTTAAAATGTGAGAAGAAACGATATAAGAACTGCTGAGATCATAAGCTTTGAAAAAAAACCAGCGGAAACTTCTCGTAGCTATACAATTATTTCTGATATATGTTTATTTCTATTATTTATTTACTTTTGCTTTTCAGAGGTTGTCACAATGCATGGTATGGCATTGCTCCTGATTATAGTATTGACGGCTATTTTTTTCCAAATGAAAGCAAATGAAAAATACTATTAGTATGAAGTTTTGTAGCCTTTAGAAAACCAGTTCATGTATTAATATTAATCAAACACCTACTGTTAATATAGAAAACAACTCATTTTATCGAAAAGACATTCCATCGTCCATTTAATAGATGTTTCTTATTTATCTATCTGTTTACTTATGAGTTTGAATGTCCTTTTGTTATCTTTCGCCTGTATTTTACTTATTCATCAACTAATGTATACCAATCAGAATATTCTCGTAAAAAAGAAACTTGAAACGAGATTTCATAAAAAGAAACAAAAAAAAAAAACACAAGTAGTTATTAAAATTCTACAAATAATTATGTAGCTTATAATTTTGTACGCCAGGCACGCGTCTCCTATACACAAGACTCATCAGTGACGCTCAAATCAAAACAGTTCAAAGGCCAAACCAAGTACGAAGTTGGAGAGCATCTGAATCATTCTATTAACGTTATCATTCAACAATACTGTTATTGGGTTTCAAAATAAGTTTTGTTAAATGTCACTGTAAATTTGTTCGTGTCAAAAATTGATAATCCAGAGAGATATACTGCTGCAGTCAGCAGTCATTTTAACAATCTCTCAATACTTGCTAATCTGTCATATTTCTGTTGTTAATTTAAGTTTTACTATTCTCGAATTCAAAAACAGCTTTTCATTTACAATTGATATTTTATATTAACCTTTTCGACCATATCCGGAACCAACGCCCTATCCACCATAATTTTTGTATCCAGAACCAATACCATAACCATATCCGGAACCACTGCCATACCCATATCCAGAACCACTGCCATACCCATATCCGGAACCAATGCCATACCCATATCCGGAACCAATGCCATACCCACCATATCCAACATTTCTATACCCTCCGTATCCAGAACCAATACCATAACCATATCCGACACCGCCGATTCTGCCCCCAGATCCACCACCACCATTGAATCTGTGATAGGAATTACAGTCGCCAGAGAACCCACACTCTAACCACAATCCTCTACCTTCTATTGATCCATAATGTTTCAGATTGTGTCTTGGACTATATCCTCTTTGTCCTTTTTCAGCATAAATAAGTCCAAAGAGGACAAACAACAGACACAATGTAACCTTCATTCTGGAATAGTATCATGAAAAATGAAAATATAGGCCTCAAATATGATGTTTTGTAATAATTTAAAATCTCTAAATCTAAAATAAAAAAACTTGCTTAACGATTGTCTGCTAATGATTTTTATTTTGCTCAATTGATTGAAATTATATACAGACTGATAGGTGCTAGATGACACACCAACAAATCAATACAGATTAAAAGCATTGACTTTGAGAAAATTAGATCACATCAGTGGAATTTTTTTCCTAATAGATTTATATTTTACTTATATCTATCAAAAATTATAAATAAATTTTATGCCCAAAGCATATCTGTTATTGTTTGGTTCTTTAAACAGCGTTGCATGCTCAATCCGAAATATTCTTCAAATATCTCGACAATGTATATTAGTTGTTTATATCAAAATGTATTATTATTTTTTATTTGTTTAATTGAAAGAATTTAACCCAAATATGTGAAATCCGAAAATACATAACAACTTTTATGCTCGAGAAAGTATACAACCAAACTATACAAAGAATAGATATTTTGTTTAGATGGAGCGGCCAACATGAAAAACATGCGATAGATGAAAACCGGAATTTTGGTAAGTATTTCATAAACGTCATGGTTTTCTTGTCTGATTAGTTAATTTATTTTTTCTTTTTGTGTATGAAGGTATATATTCGTCGTTGAATCTTTTGTTATTTGTTCACCTATCTCTGTAGCGCGTGCTGCTTTGTTTTGCCACGTTTCGATTTTTCTAGGGTCTTTGATTCTAGTTACATTATTTCTACATTTCGTGGCCGAGACTTTAACCTAAGGTGTCACCTCGGACCGAAAATAAATTGAACATTTTACTTGTGATAGAAGTTAACTAAATAAACAATTTGAGAACAATATTAAGACTGTTGGGCAAGTATTTTATCATAACTTGTATAAGTAATTGTCAAGGTTAACATGACCTTCATGTCAAAATATTGCAAAAATGTTTGAATATTTGTTAAATACTAATTTTCATTTATGATCACTTTGATCGATGTGAACACTTATTTGAATTCTACAATATAGTATTCTAAAAGTATTTAATGGTATACCTATAGTTTAAAATCATCATGGCGTCAAAACTTCAATGTTCAAATGACGCTAAAAGGTTTAGATACATTATGATATTGCTAACGCACTGTTTACAGGATACAACAAAGGAAAAAGAACTTGATAAGAATTAGTATTTAGCTTATTGCTGCATATATTGTAAGAACCTTAGCTGTGCAAAATCATCAAATGCGCAGCACGTTTGATCTGTCGGCGCACCCGATGTGACTGCATCGATTCCCACACTTTATTTTACTTGGTTTGTATTTCCTGAATTGTTTGATAAAAATATTTGAAAATCAGAAAACAACTGCTCCCTCTTATTAACCTTGAATGGATTACAATAAAACTAGTATTAGAGGAACCCCGAGAAACTTCTTATTCGACAGCTTTTTCCTTCATATATACGCAAATTTAAAAACAATGAAAAAGGTGTCTAGTCTAGAGTTTAAGGAAATCATTCTGGAATCCCTTCTGTAAACAATGAACATATGAACAACAATGAAACGGATGGTATTATTATTAATAATAACGGACAAGTTACTATACTTTTGAAATACGCGGCAATACTTAATTAGATTTCGGCACAGCACAGATTCTCTAAACGTTTGAAAATAATCAAATCATATTGTTTATAATATATTTAAATGATGATCTGATGATGGAAAGTTACCCCTGGGGTTCATTTTATGCAACTCTGCAAACGAAGAAAGCACATTTGAAATATGATATTCGAAAACAAACATGTCAACAATTAAAGAAACCAAATAACCAGTTACTTTGTAATACAACCATCTGGTTCTATCTTTCCAATTACAATGTAGATTTATTGGTCATAGTTTTAAATCAAAAGGTTTAAAAAGTTATATATAATGTTAGTTTTTTTTTTTTTTTTTTTTTTTTGTGAAAGACTGTGCATTGCCTAAGCAAAAGAATTCAAAAAAGATTATTTCTGTGGTTTGAATATTTTTTTTAATGGTTAAAATGTATTGTTACGCAAGTTAAAGTAAACATCTGGCCAAGAGTTCTGCCCAACCCGTGATAGAGTCCGTCTTGCACTTGCAGTGAGGGAAAAGAATGTTACTCCATCCTGCAGATCTCACTGTAAAGAAGTAGGTTCAGTAAGACCCCTTTTTGGCCCCAAAATATATCAGTTTTACAAAGTTGTTATAATGTAAACTTTTAGCTATTTATTGGAAAGTAGAATACTTCTGCTACATAAATATGGGCTGTTTTTGACAATACAATGCACATATATCTGAAACTAGCATCATTAAGTCATGCTAAATTACTGAAATCTTCACAATTTTAGCATTTGAGTTAAATTTTAGACGGTTTTCGTCTTAAATGGAAGTGGCCGCATTCGTGTTCATTCTTAATATTTAAATGTAAGTTGTATTTGATGATAATACATAACATATATAAAGGTTGAGGGTGAACACGGATGCAGCCACTTTCATTTTTGACAAAAACTATCTGAAAAGTGACATATTACGGCATATTTGAAAGATTTTTCATATTTAAGCTTGAATATGAGCGTCTGAAATGACTTAATCAGTTCAAATCTTTCACACAAACTAATTGAATCGACTGAAATAGACACTTAAGTATTGAAAAAGTTTACAAAATCTTTCATCAGATGAACCTGAAATTTGAGGCCAAAATAGACCCTTACCGGACCTACTCCTTTGAGATGAAGAATGGCGATATAAACGCTGTTTCTTCTCTTTATTAGCTTTTTTAATGTGCACGTTGTGATTTTGTGTGATGAATTGATACCCTTATCCTTTCTTTTCTAATACGGTCAAGTCATGACTTAGTTGGTATTTTCGTAAAATCTGTTTTACAGATGACAACGAACATTTTCTATTCTTTTTTATCGAATGGCTTCTGAAAACAAATCAGTAAATTTGATTTATTGTTACTTTTTCAGCCAAAAAACATATAAAGTTTTTTTTTTGTCAAATCAATCAAAAGACTGCGACAGATTATGACGAGTCGAAAGTTTTCATTTTCTGAGTAACGCCAAAATTATACATTGTGTGATGATTAAGAAGTTAGCGAGTTAAGTTTTATAAAGTATTATTTGTTATAAATTGTATTTTTTTCAATTCAAAATATAATTAAATCAAGTGAAGCCCAAACATACATGTTGAGAAATGAACTTTTAGCTTTAATTTTAATTTTATTCTATTTGTGTTTTGAGCAAACAAAACTTATGCAATCAATATACTAGTGTTCAAATAACTTAAAGTAATTTTGCATACGCGTCATCTGAAACTGATGTTATAAAAATGCATGGACACTTACTTGTATTCTGCTGTAACGACTGCTTAAGTGGTAATGAAAGTTAAATGTTCCGATTCTTTTATATCCCGCCTTAAACAATGAATATATTTTATGTTAATAAAGATGCATTGCCACCACACATCAAAACATGACAAATCGTTTGGTAGTATGTCATCATTGGAAATGAAAAGGAAAAAGCCTTTAACAAGGTAGAATCATAGTTTACAACGTGATGGATGGGTGAAAAAAAATTAATGTTCGAATGTGGTTATATATATCATTTTCTCAAGCATTTCTGGGGTAAAACAATCTTTATAACTTTTGACCACAAAAAAAAAAAGAAAAAAAAAAAAAAAAGTATTGGAAGAAAAACCAGACCATATGTATCATGTTAATAGACAAGGACATGTTTAATTATTCATCAAATATTGCATCATACTTTCATAGCTGAAAAAAACTGCTTTACGTGATACTCAAATCGTATTTTAGGTGGTATATTAACCAAATGAAGTTTTATTTGACGTTGTGGAAAAAGGGCAGTAGAGAGGTGATAGACAACTTGTATTCTTGCGTCTATGGAAAGAGGAGTATCAATATATATCATCAGAAAAAAGTTATTACATTAATCTGCAGCAATTTTGTTATATTTAAAAATCTTTGGAATAAGTTTAACCCTTGTAAAATGCAGAGTTGTCTGAATTTTCAAGGAAGTGTTCTGATATTCTGACGACAACGTTATTTTAAACTGAAAGCTGTAATTTCAACTATTCATCAGGAGAGTACTGGCTGATCAATTTTTCGATCTAATATGGTAAAACCTTCTTTAAGTGAAATATGACAAAAAAAAAACTTATCCTTGACATTTTTATAGAAACATGTTTTACAAATTATGATGATGTTTTACCTGTCATTATAAAATAAATAATTCAATGTTTCTATCAATGGCAAACATGCGACAGGGTTAAACTTTTTCAAATGTATATTTGTATGTTCTTGATTTCGATTGTCTCCGAACATTGTATACTGTGGATTCATTATTATTTGTGGGAAAATAATGTAACTGGAATTCGTGGGTATTGGTTAACAACAAATTTAAATGTTCCACAAAGTACGAATGTTCTGTTTGTATTCAAACTTTGTCAAAAACGAAATCAAATATCCACGGAAGTACAAGTTTTCCTCAATCCACGAAAATGGGTACCCCTTAAAATGAATAAATCCATCGTATACGTTAATAACCTACACTGTTCAACCAAACACTTTTCGTTGTAAAAGTGATCTCTCCTAACACTGCTTTTTCTTCTTATAACTATTCCTTTGACATTTTACATATTGCTTTCTTTTTAAATTGCTTGTTACATCCTAAGGATGTCGCAATCAATTTTTAACGATACGATTTGGTTACGCCTTATTTGAATTATTCATCTCTCTGTATTTTACATAACTGAGATACAAGTGTACCTCATAAACCGTAAATGAAAGAGACATAGGATGTATTAGATTTGAAATCGTTCTTCCACTTTAGATACAATTGAGGTCAAGAACATGTCAAGGGCATGTTTTTTTTTCCTTTACATGTATATTACTTCTCCTCAATGACCGTAAAATATATCGAAAACAGATTTATCTCTCAATTTTAAGTTGCAGTATTTACTAATTACAATGCATTCGATCGAAGTGTTCTGCTGACATTATATAGGAGTAAGGTTATTATTATATTTAGAAAAATATTCATGGGGATATTCACATACCAAAACATTAATGTGAAGGATCAGTATAGAATAAGTTTTTTAACATCGGAAATTAATAATTGTAAACCCGAAGAAGCAAACTATAATGCTCTTCATCGTCCAGTCTATAAAACTCATAAAACCTATAGTAGAAAAACAAAGGATTATAATCTGGATACTAAGACGAGCGTTTCGTCTGCATACGACTCATCAACGGCAATCGAATCAGAAAAAAACACACAAAATTGAAAATGAAAACTTCAAAAAAAAAAAAATATACGGATAAGGCTATCTCTTCGCCGCTGGTAGAAACTCTTAATGACTATGAATAATATCATTCACTGTGCTTATTCAGTAGGCTCTGGTCTATTACTATTCCAATCGTTTAAATAATTTACCAAATTGCAGTTTGATTACATCTCTACAAACTCATCAATTGGTAAAATATTTCAAGTAATTGCTTCAGTGATAGGTTGTAAGTGTGAAATGAGTGCAGTAAAATAAGGTTATACTTACTATCAACTTCAGTTAATTATTGTCTATGTCATGAAATTCAAATTGTAATTTTGATGTTTTTATATAATCAAATTTCTTATCTGCTTATAATAAAGGGAAATAATTTACATGATAATCAGCAAAATTTTGTTCTGTCAACTGTCAACTGCCTTCATATTGATATTTCATCAGTATTTTGTTCTAAACATTATTTCCATGATTATTAGTCCCCTACTGACGAAGTTGAAGGGGTCTTTATGTTTGCACTCAATCCTTCTATCCGCCACTCTCAAATCAGTATTCCACACTTTTATTTTCATCGTGCTTGAAGATATTGACTTGATATTTGTTATATTGTTTACACCATGACAAGTTATAGATCAAGTTAGCATTTTGTTCCAGTAAAATGAATTTTTAACCGGTAGGGGACCACAGAATATGTGTTAAACTGTTAATCTATATATATATTTAAGCTGATTAAAATTTTGAAAAAAAGCTGTTGAAAAACATATTATGTGACACATTCAAAGTTGTGTAAATCATACAGATTCCTATGTAAATTAAGAGGGTATCACCAGCCCAGTAGTCAGCAATTCTGTGTTGACATGAATTATCATTCATATGGTCAAAATTATACATTAACTGTTTTGCAAAAATTTGAATTGTTCAAAATACTAAGGATTTTCTACCCCTGAGGATTAGATTTCTTGTGAGGAATATTTGGCCAAACTTTTTATAATTTTGTTTCCTCAATCTCAATGCTTTTCAACTTCGTACTTAATTTTGTATTCAAGCCTCACTGATGAGTCTTCTTACGATAAAACTTGTGTCTGGCATACAAAATCTTCAGCCTGGTATCTTTGAAATTTTTTGTTTACAATGAGTGAATAAAAATGATTTCCCTTTAATGCCAGCAGATAAGTAATTGTTGTAGAAAAAAGTATCCAACTGACAATTACGCAATAACTTCCTGTTAGAAAAACAAAGCAATACGTTATTGACACACCAAACAATTGTAAGAACTAATTATTTATAAAATGTCATTAGGATAGAAGTTTTCATATCAAAGTCAGTTTTTTTAAACCAGTGCCTTATATTATAGTAGGTGATTAGTTTATTTCTTTTTCAATACAGAGACATTAAGTAAATGAAGTTGAATGGTAAGCATTACTTTTATTTCACTGCACTCACTTCATACTGACAACCTTTCTCAGAAGCAGTTTGCTAAAATATTTTACCAATTGATTAGTTTGTTAAGATAAATTCAAACTGCAATTTGGTAAACTGTTTGAGCAATTGGTATTGTGATAGGCTAAAGCCTTCAGGATAAGCACAGTGATACGCAATTGATTTACAAAAGATTAACATATCAAAGATATTGAATATATTTCAGCACGAAATTACTGACATCTGAGTTAGTGATAACCTCGGGGACGAAACGTCTCACAACAGTGGCATAGACCCAGTGGTTCGAAAATTCTCAAAGATACGCGGTTTTAATTTGAAATGCCAAGCTGCCTTTTAAGTGGATGGACGGCCACACCTAATATATAGATGAAAGGCATTGAAAAATAAAAATTCCGAAAAATTGTGCTAAATACGGCTAAGGTATTTTATGCATGGTTGAGAAAAACCTTGGTGGTTTAAATAATTCAGCATTCTATATTCAGTTCATTTGAAGAAAACTAGTTCACCAATGATATTGCATGTCAACACCAAAGTGTTAACTTCTTGGCTGGTGATGTCATGTGTGAAATTAATCAAAGATCTTTAATGGACACCAAATTCTCCAAATAAACGGGTGTTTGCTATGGCTGTCTCTTGTAAAACGGATTTGTTATGGGCTCCCTGATAAAGCGATATTGGTATGTACTGCTCTTAAGGGAAGGGTGTTTGGTATGCGCCGTCCCTGTTAAAGAGGGTTTGGTATAAACTGTTCCTTTTAAAGCGGGTTTGTTATGGGCTCCCCGATAAACGGAATTGGTATCTACTGCCCTTAAAGGAAGGGTGTTTGGTATGGGCCGTCCCTGTTGAAGAGGGTTTGGAATAAACTGTTCCTTGTCAAGAGCATTTTGTTAAGGGATTTCCTGATAAACAGTGTTTGGTATGGGCTGTACTTGTTTAAAAGGATTTAATGTGGGATATCCCTGTTGAAGAGGGTTTGGTTTGGGCTTTCTTGATAAATGGTGTTTGATATGGGTTGTCCCTGATGAAGAAATTTAGATAAGGACTGTCCCGAATTAAGGGTGTTTGGTTTGGCTGTCCCCAGTCAGGAGGGTTTCGTATGGGCTGTCAATAAGTCGTATGCACACTGAAATCGTTGTTTTGCGTTTATAATCACACTTGATATAATATTATTATATAAGTATAAAAATATTAACATCATAGATATATTACAACGAAACAAACGACGAATCTGAAGTACAGTTTTTATATTTTTATAGTTTCAACACGCATGTATATTTCTAAAATTATATTTTTGTCAATGATTTAAAATATTTGATATTATGGAACATTTTACAAACTTACCAAACATATTCCTTATGAACTAATATGTTTTTAAGGATTTTAACATATTTGCACTCAAAATGAAACAATAACAAGAAATTTTAAAAACTTTTTATGTAATAATGTTTTTTGCAAGTTTCTTTCATAATATTGTTTTGTTGTTACATATATGAAAAGATGTTTAACATATGTACATTGCTATACAATAATGATTTACTGCAAAGGCGTCATTCGGTTTATCGAAGACTTAGTACATTGCTCTACATTTATATTGATTTGCATAACAGAATTGTCAGTTGATTT